AARSMMCMKTTTGCCATGGGAGCACCTGCTAATTACCACATTCCTGCCAAATGCAGGGTCCTGCAGGTCCTCACCAGCTCCTGCCTCTGTGTCCCTGCCTTTCCTCCTGCCAGGAGGGCTCCTGGCCCCCGGGAACCAGGTCTGAGCCCATCAGCCACAGCCACCCCTCCCCAGGGGAGAAACAACCCCAGGAGATCAAAATATCCAAGCAGAGCCATTCCAGGGTGGGGATGAGACTGTTCCCAAGGGCCTGGGGGGACAGGACAAGGGGCAGTGGCTTCAAACTGACAGAGAGGAGGTTTAGATTGGATATTAGGGAGACATTCCTTCCTGTGCTGGTGGTGGAACAGGCTGCCCAGAGAAGCTGGGGCTGCCCCATGGAAGTGTCCAAGGCCAGCTTGGACAGGGCTTGGAGCAACCTGGGATAGTGGAACCACCCCCATGGCAGGGGATGAGACTGGACAAGATTTAAGGTCCCTTCCAACCCAATCCATTCCATGGTTCCCTGACCCACAGCCCCAGCAGATGGACAGCAACCCTCGAGCACAGCATCACTGCCAACCCCACACCTACATCCAGCAGCAGTCTGGGAGCTCCAGGAGCACAGAGATTCCAGGCAAAAATGCCTGTCCATACAAACTCACTGCTGGTACTTTGACCCTGGGGTAAGACCCAGGCTTTGCCAATCCCAGGCTTTGCCAATCCCAGGCCAATCTTCTAATCCCGAGGCTCAAATTCATTTTTGGTCCCTCCCTCTGCACTTTTAATTGCACCCCCAAGGTACTGGACCAGCTTAGAACAGGTTTAAAGATGCTGGGGCTTAAATCACAAATGCCACAGAAAGCACCCAAGCACATCTATCTAAGCCCAAAGAGCAGATCTTGCTCTGAGGAGCCTCCTCAGAACAGATGAGGCCGAGGGGACAATTTATTCCATACGAGCATAAAAAAAACAAGGCAGTAGAAATGGCCCAGCAAGAGAAGCCACAGGCAGAAAAAACGCAGTGAGAGAAGAGGCGAGGAAAACAAACTGCTCCCAGAACTGCTGCAAATCCCAGTTACCACCCCCCGTGTCATTTTTAAGCTCAGATTAACGCGGTGAGCGCACGATTAGCCCCTAATACAGCATTTACTTACTGGGATGTCAGCCCAGATCAGCTGCTGGATAAGTTATAGGAGGAGCTGGGTGGCTCCTGCAGAGCAGGCAGGGCCCCCTTTCCCAGCCAGCCCCGAATGTTTATAGCAGCAGGAAATGAAAAGGAAAAGCCCTGGCCATAAACTCTCCGAGTGGCTCAGGAAGAGCAATGTGTGAGCAGCTCGGGAGTAAATCACCCTAATGTTGGTTTTACTGCTTGTCAGTAACGTTAGAGCCTTGATGTTTATGGATGGCTCTCCCAGATCCACTCGGAAAGTTTACAGGGCTCTCCTCCTCCTTTCCTCAGGCTAAAAAAGGTAAAGAGAGAGAGGAGGGAGAGGGGAAAAAAAAAAAAAACAGTGGAGATTTCATCAAGTGTTTCAGGGGAGCTCCTAGAGGTGATTGCAGCTCTGCACTTTAATCCTGCAGGAGATGCCCAGCATCCTGAGAATTATGTCACAACCACTGAAGTCCAGGTAGCAAATAACCTTTTAATGGCAGCACTAAATTCTGGGAGTTAATCAGCACTCAATGAGCAGGGCTGAGGGGGATTAGGATGCCCTGGGTATTCTCTCCACGTTCAGTTGGTTTTTTCGCTCTTTTCTACTCCTCTGCCATCAGAAATCCCACACCCCTGGTGCAGTGGAACCAGTCCCAAAGGATCTAGGTAAGGGAATGCTGAGCCAACCAGCCTGTTCCAACACCTCACACAATCCCCCTCCTGCAGTTTATCACCCCTGGGTGGGAAAAATGAGTTTAAAGAAGGGTTTAGGACACCCATCAACAGTGAGAGCACAGATACCCTGAGCTTCCCTGGGACTGCACCAATATTTCCAGGATGTGTCCCAGGACAGGCAGGGATTTGGGAAGGTTGGGTGGATCATCTCATCCCACCTGTCTAAATAAATCTGTGAACTATTTATTGCACAAGGTGTTTCTTGAGCTCTTCTGGAAGCTCGAGAAAAGGATGTTTTAATTGTGAAACAATATTTTACAGGTGGGCCTTCCAGATTTGTGGGGCTGAGGGAGAGGAAACCTTGGGAACAGAAGGAACCTTCATCCATCCTGCATTGGACACTTTCCCATGCAAGGAACAAGAGGGGGGAACCTTCCCAAAATTTCAGCTTCCAAGTCTCAACCCCAATTCCCTCATATTTAACTTTTGGAGCTGCTCATTGTGCTGCTGACTGGGGCTCACCAGCCCTCACCAAACAGCATCTCAGTGTTTATTTTTCCAACAGCTCTGCCCTCAGCCACCCCCAAGCTTTGCTTGGTGCTCCTGGTGCCCAAACTCCACCAGGAAAAGCAGCTTTTCCAGCCCCACCCCCCGAAACCAAGAGGCTCCAGGAGGCAGGTGAAGGGCAGGGAATCTGATTGACTTTGCTCCTCCAAACAGAACCAGCAGCACTGTGTTTGGCAGAGATGTATCACATTTTCAGAGCTGCTCTGTCAGCCTTCAGGAGGAATCTATGCCAGCAAGTATGAAACACTCT